ATATATATATATATATATATATATATCTGTGTGTGTTTTTGATCAGTTTCTTGTTTGACTCTTTATCTCTTTGTATGCATAATTACACGCATATATATGTAGACATGATTGGCTGATTTCTAGGGTAATTAACTTTCCTTATCCCTATAAAATCCTACATAAACAATGCTTAAACGAAACCTGCAGTAAATTTTTTCTTTCCATTTGCAAATATTTTATACTATTATTAACATTTAACAATGGAGGGCGAAAATCTTTGCAGTAATAGTACATCTTCAGGGTCAAGATGGAATCCCACAAAAGAGCAAATAAATATGCTTGAGAGTTTGTATATGCAGGGATTAAGGACTCCAAGTGCAGAACAGATTCAGCAGATTACTGAAAAGCTTAGGGTTTATGGTCATATTGAAGGGAAGAATGTTTTCTATTGGTTTCAGAATCACAAGGCAAGACAGAGACAGAAGCAGAAACAGGAGAATATTGCTTATTTAAATCGCTTTCTTCACACTACCCCAGTTTTTCCTACATACCAAAATGGTATTTGTTTATTTTTACTCCGATTTTTAATGCATTTTTCCTACATACCAGAATCTTTATGATCAAAGGATCATAAACAGTTGTTGAGGATCTTGCTACGTTATATCTTGTCGTTCATCTATCAATTGTTTTCTTCACACAACCTTTGGTTTTCCACCATACCAGAATCATATATATTTACTCCATTTTTTAGAACTTCGCTTTTTTTGTACCCAGTTTTGAACTTTGGTAAAGGAGGATTGTGGTTAGTTGATAGTTGAGAGGGAGGGAGAGGGGAGAGAGAGAAATGTGAAGGACATCTATCATCATGATAAATAGCATTACTCAAAACTTTATCAGACTTATAACTTGAATTCTTAGTAGTTATAAAGGATATAGTTTATCAGGAACAAGTCTTTTGAAGTTTATTTATATTTTAGGATGTGATTGCTTTTTAATTAACTAAAAGTTTTATGGTTTCAGTTGTCTGCAGTCCATATTACGTACAACCACCTCAGAGTGATTTAGGGTTTTATTCGCAGTACTCAAAGGTGCCCGTGCCACTACCTGGAGGATTCAATACCAGAATAATCCCAGAAAACATTGGAAAAAACAAGGACAAAGTCATTCATCCCAGAAGCAGAAACGAGGAGTTTGATGTCATTTCCAACAAAAAGTGGTCTAATCAAGAAACATTGGATTTATTCCCTGTACACCCAACTGGCATTTTACAAGCAAAAACAGGAAGCCCTAACAGTGCTGAGAATTCCACTCCTAGTAGTCCAAGTTCTTCTGAGAATAATTGCATTTTTGGGCATCCATTTTTTGACTTTTTGTGTGGAAATGGCCCTTATGAAAGTCACTGATGATTAGTGAACTGATGACATTATTCTGTGAAATTTTGGTTGGAAGTGAATTTTCACTTAACATTGATTGAGGTTTACTTTTGGTATGGTTGGATCAAAAGATTGCTTTTGTAGACATATGATTCTGCTTTCATGTAATTGCTAGATTTAATGGATTACTCAATGAACTTATAATTCCCACCCCCACCCCCACCCCTCTCCCTCTATCTCTATCCTATAGGACATAACGGCTTAAATGTCATGTGGTTGTGGCTCCAAAATCAACAGGCCCTTCAAGGCTGCCAAAACTCAATTGCAGCTTGACAAGAAAAATCGTGGGAAAATATAGTGAGTGTAGAATTTTGAAAATGATTATACCTTTTCATTTATACATATTTATCAAAAATTGAGTTCACATCACTTAATAATTCACAGTAACATCATATAATCATGGTCTAGAAGTTCTCAGAATAGTGTGGAAAATATCACAATGTTTGAATTGATCTTATTTCATTCGGATTCATTCCCGATGGAATATCATTGGGAAGAAATGGGGGATGCTGACCAAAAGAACGTCGATGTCTTTGTTTTGGGAAGAAATGGGGGATGTTGACCAAAAGAACGTTGATATCTTTGTTTTAAGGGCGCGAAGAAGGCGATAACTTCCCTCCACTGGCATGTAGAGGAGTCTGAAAATGTGAAATTAGGAGCAAGGTTCAATTTTTCATTTTGTAATCTGGAAAAGTCTAAGAGGACTTAGATATAGAGAGATTGAGCAAGCAGATTTTCAGCATGTTCCTCTGATAGGATTCGAACATATTATCTTTAAAGAAAAGGTACACAGAAAACTTCCCATAAACATTGTAAAAAAGGTACACAAGGAAAACTACAAAAAGACGACTACTATCTTGATGATGATGGTCAAATGCTTCAATCAAGATTAACACTGCTGTGAACTTGGGGGCAGTATTGCTCAGGGTTGGCTCACAGGAGCTATCGGTGGCGCCATTCAGCTGCATGCACGTCGGCAAACATCCCTTGGTGCAGTCGGAGAGTGCACCGCTGATGTTGTTCTGCGACATGATAACCAATACACATGAAGAATATAGTAGCTACATTGTTGTTCTTGGCAGCCATTTTTTTTATTTCTTTTTCAATTTTCTTTATTATATATGTCTTCTGTTCAAGAAAGGCTGTCATGAATTAAGAAAAGTTAGGAGAAATAAATTGAATTGTGACGCACAAATTATAGGATAGGAGTTGGTTACTTAATAGTGGTTTGGAGGATCGCTAGGAGAAATTATAATAGGTCATGGATCTCTCTCTCTCTCTCTCTATATATATATATATATATCAGAAATGATCTAATGAGCACCGGTGCTCATCTTATCCTAAGCACCGATGAGTTGGCACATTAATTCATTGGTGGATAAAGATTTTGTGAGTTCCAATCCNTTAAAATAAGGTCTTAGAAATACGGTCAAGACCAATCGATATTGGCTGATAAATGACTATTGGAAAAGAAATGAACTGATCACAATACTCTAAGAATAAGGAGAAGAATTGATCAATAAAATATCCTTAAACAACAAGGTCAGACCAGACGATTTTAAACATGTTTTTGTTTTGATACTTTGGCAAAGTGTAAAAGTTACTTCAATTAATTTGTAAGTAATTTTTTATTTCTCAATATATTTGATTTTTTTTTTTCGAATAAGTAAAAGAAAAGTGATTTACGTGACCACCGTATAAAAGCAGAAACTAATTTCAAATGAGAAATTACTTATTTTTAATTTTGATGGATAAAAATTAGTATATTAAAACTTAATTCACTTTCAAATATACTTGCTTGTAAGTATATTTTTTAAGCTTAGCAAATATTCATGTCCAAGAAAGACGATATAGAATACAATGACCTTAAATGTGTTTTAGCTGTGACATCACACCCCAATACCCCATATTCGAAGTGTAAAACGAGTCAACCTATAATTGATACAACCATAACCAGGTCTATAGTCATAATGGTTTATCGTCGAAAGTTTTGTTAAAAAGAGTTTCATTATGAACGGTTAACTTATTAATTGAAGTAGCCAAATCCTTTTAACAAACTCGAAACCTCTCCCATGTTTAGTTGACACGAATTTTTGTTCGGTATGAAGGTTTACCAAACTAGCAGATGAAAAAGACATTATTTATTACCATTCACATAGGATAATGAAAGAAGCTTACAACTTACAAAGAACCCGGACATGTACTCAAAAGCACTTCAATTAGAAGCATATGGATACGTTGGGCATGAGACACGAATAAACAGTATAATAAACAGAGTTTTATTTTTTTAGTCCTTTAATCCGAGTTCACCTTCAAAGTAAAGCCATATTAGCAAATGGGAAGGGGGGCACCATTCCATTCCTTCAAACAATCCAGCAATGGATCAATCAATTTCCCTTCACACATAGCTGTGAATACCTTATCAAACTCTTCGCCTGGCGATCGGACCTTTTCGCCAGTTAAGAAACTAGTCCCCAGTTCTTCCTTCACAAACTTGTACAGTGGATATGACCTACAGTCCTTGATCCGGTTAGCAATAGACGGCTTACCATTTTCCACCTCGAGTCGAACATTTTCAACTTCAGTAGGCAAAAGGGCCTTCAATTCTTCCTCAAAGACACTAATTTTCTTGAAAATTGAAGTACTCTCATTCTTTTCCCCATCAGCATTCAGCAGGGCATGATCAACAAGAACTTGCCTTAATTTTTGCATTAAGGGATTGGTAGCACTGCAGGGATCATCAATGTAGGCAAATACATGCTCTCTATCTCCCACTTTTAACAAGTCCCTTTCACAATACCTGGAAGGATGAAGCTGTCCATTGGAGTTCATTGTTAAAACTTTCTTGGCTATTAAACTTACTGTATTTTTCACAGAGGCCTTCAAATTCTCCTCCAAATGCCTCAAATCAATGGCTTGGCATAAAGCAACAAGAAAAGTTGACGACATGAGCTTCAATATATCGACGGCTTCTGCTGTTTTTCTTGAAGAAATTAGTCCCAAAGAGTTGACATCTTGGTTATGTTGCTCAGCACTTTGCACATGGTTGGTTACCTGTTGAAGAAAAGATTCCAATAAATAAATTTATCGTAAATTATTGACTTAAGCATTGAGATGATGTGGTCAAATGTGATATTAGAACACAAAAAGTATAGAGATCAAGTCCCACTTCCACCGTATTATGAAAATTTTGCACGTTCGAGGCCTATGATGAAAAACATGAGGGTGTATATTGAAGACAAGAACCGTTACCGGATTGGCAAGAAATTGGAGTTCGGAACAATAAGAAGCCATTGCGATTTCTGCACCTTTGAATCCATAGTCAAGGCTCGGATCACGTCCCCCGGAGAGATTCGAAGGCAACCCATTGTTGTAGAAGTCATTAACCATCTCAGAAAATTGTGCAAACATGAGTTTTCCTATTGAAGCAATGGCTAAACGAGTGTTATCCATTGACACTCCAATAGGGGTGCCTTGAAAATTCCCTCCATGTAATGCCTTATTCCTTGAAACGTCAATCAATGGATTATCATTAACAGAATTGATCTCTCTTTCAATGGACTTTGTTGCGGCCCGAATGACTTCGACTTGTGGGCCAAGCCACTGGGGCGAGGTACGAAGCGCATAACGATCTTGTTTAGGCTTTTGTAAAGGGTCCATATCGTGTATTTTTTGAGCTTCTTTAATATATGAACTTCCATCAAGAATGTGTTCCATGATAGCAGCAGCCTCAATCTGTCCAGGATGATGCTTCAACTTATGAGTCAAATGATCCGTAAATTCGGGCTTCCCGAGCATAACTTCAGCAAAGATTGCTGATAAAACTTCTGCCAAAACAGCAAGAATGTTAGCTTCAAACAGAACTATTGAAGCCAAACCAGAACCAACAGCAGTGCCATTTACTAATGCAAGTCCTTCTTTAGGCTGCAACTCGAAGAACCCGGTATCAATTCCAGCAAGGTGGAATGCTTCGGACGCACCAAGAAGTTCACCGTCAGGTCCGACTGCCTTTGAATTAGCCCGGCCGGTCAAGAGCCCGCCAATGTAGGACAGAGGGACTAAATCACCAGATGAAGAAATGGTGCCCCTGAGGGGCAAGCATGGGGTGATTTTATGGTTAAGTAATTTGGTTATGGCTTCCAAGATTTCAAATCTGATGCCTGAATATCCTTGAAGCAATGTGTTTATTCTAACAAGCATTGAAGCCCTTGTGGCAGATTGAGGCAGAGTTTGGGATGATTCAGTTCCATTGCCAAATACTCCAGCATTCAGAAATCTGTTGATAGATTAACAAACAAAGATCAGATGTAGCAATGCATAGATTTTTAAACCAAATTTCTCATTCTTCATATGGATGTGATGAATAGGAAAATGTAAGTTGGATTGAAATAATTAAACTTATAAGGAAAGAAGTAACTTTTAAAATAAATAAAAATTTTATAAATCAAAAGTAAGAAGAAATTAAATTATCCCATGTTTATAAATTGATATTAATTTATATTTTATTTCTTCTGAAAGGATTATTTAATTAATATATATTTATTTCTGAGATCCTCACATATGACTTGTAGACATTAAATTTAAATTGTAAATATTGCTTTTACTTTTATTAATTTTACTCTTTTTTTTCTTTTTTCCATATGAATTCATCAAAATCTGAAAATTTCAAAAAGTCTGAGACTTTTGAAGATTTATACAACTTTTGTGTTGTTCTGAAAAACTAAACGTGCAGACGTAAATCCTGGAAGATTGTCGTCTTAATGCAAATTTATTCATTTTTAATATTTATTTTTTATCTTGTCGTCGAACTATCTAATTTAAAAGTATAAACTGATTATGTACAAGCTAAATTTATTTTTATTAACCCGCGTTCGAACTCAAAGCACGGGTTCGGGAATGAAAAACCTTTTTATTTTTTTTTAACAAAAGTAAACTGATATAGTTTTTCGAAGGTATATGATTCATCAAAATCTGAAAGTTTTATCCTCTATTTATCTCACGCTAACTACGTGAACATGACAGCTTTTAATGAGACCACCTAATATAAAAGCGACATTAAAATCCATGAACACTGTAAATTCATGATTATGACATGATAGCTATAACATAATTTACTATGTGTATGGTTTTACCTAATTAGCTCCTTTTGTAGAGCTCCACCTTCTTTGGTTCTCCTATGTGATGTTGCACCAAAACCTGTGGTTACACCATAGCTATCTGTCCCTTTGTTCATACTATCCATCACCCAGTCACTGCTGGCTTTGACGCCAGCCCTGGCGGCATCCGCTAGCTCCACCTCGATCGTGGTGTCTCGAGTAGCTATTGCCGCCACTTGAGATATTGTAAGTGTTTCCCCACTTAGCCGGACCACCGGTTTCCGGTATTCCTCCACCATACGCTTGACTTCATCGAGATGACTACCCTTTAGCGACTCCGCAGCCATGTTCCAATTCAATGGATCATTCACTTGAACACAAAAGTTGCCAACTTGGGCATCATTTCTATTTAAATTAGTATGTTCCATTGCGGATTACTCGACGTGCTAAAATTTGTAATCAACCTTTAATTAAAAAGAATTCGAACGAAAATAACAGCAAGAAAGATACGAGCTCTATCGAGTATATTGAATAATTGTCTATACAAGAATAGAAGATGATGAAGAGAATAGGAAATGAAGGAAATTGCAAAGCTTATGAAAATTAAGCTTATAAGCTGAATTTCCTGAGTTTGTAGAGACAGCTTTGGTTGGATTAAATAGAGGTTCGTTGGACATTGATTGTAGGGTGGGCAGGCCGAAGTGTTAGTTGAAAATCCCATGTGGACGTTGGATGAGCATGAGTTTGGATTGTTTGGATGAAGACACGTGTAAGAATGTGGTGGTGGGTGTGCACGGGTGAGGTAGGATTCAACATCTTTGTCAAAGAGGATATGGTAGTGGGGTGGTTCGTAACTGAAGGACGGAGTCTCGCAAAAAATAATGTTATTTATCATTATGATGATGGAACATCGATGACGTGACGTCTATATATGCAGAATAATAAGATTGAACAGTTTAATTTTTATGAAAGAGATGGGATGAGAGAAAGAAATATAAGGGATAATGAGTTGTCATATCACTAATGTACCATTATCATGATGATAAATAACATTGCTCATTTTTTTAATTTTTATTCAGGATCTGCATAATTGGGACAAACCTGACGTATGAATTGGTCATAAGTTGATAGATTGATGTCAAGAGAAACTACATTTCATTCTAAATTAGGTTTGATTGTTAGTAGTACATTGGGACAGATCAATGAAAATGATGAATAACTAGTAAATATGATTACCTCAACCTAATTAAAGGTATGGTTTTCACTTAAGAAAAGTTCTAAAAAGAAGGGGAAAATTACCTAAGGTGGGTCAGAAGGCCCGACATCATTTGGCCTCGAAAGGACCGTGTCATCAGTCGATATGTCTAGAAAGGCATACCTTGTCGTCCTAGACTAAAAAATTGTCTAAAAGTCGCGTGTATTGTTCAAGTTACCTCACTTCGACGTTACCCATAATAAAGATGTTTTTACTTGTTCAATGATCAGCTAAGAATTCTGTATCTGAAATTTTTAAAAATATTTGGCCAAGACAACTGACCTTTTTCTAATGTTTAGAATACTTAAATGGAGAGTTGTTGTTATCTGCAATGGATAAAATGATGTGTATTTGAAAAGGTTGTATACAAGTTGGGAGAAGTCATCATCACTACCAACCACCACACTTCAGATTTCAATGGAGTAGGTAAAGCTCTGAAAAATAATTCCGAGTCCTCCAATTATTCCTTCACCAAACACAAATCTTGTAGGAAGGAAACTTCAATTATTACAAGTGGATAACCTTGGAAATGCACGGTTGGTATACTGAATTAAACCAGACAATTAACTTCCTCAACCATATATTGACCCGTTTAGTCTAGTTTAAAATACCGAATATGCCCTTAAAACTATGTAATCAAGGGCTATGTAGAAATCAGATGAGACTTGAGTGAAAGAAAGTTGTTGTAATTGAGCCATTCGTTGAAGCCTGTGCTACAAGTTCAGCCAATTTCCAACAATTGATTGTAAGAGCACAAATCCACAAAAACTAAGATGGAATTAGATTCTCAACTAATAGTAATTGCTCGATAAAAAACACACATCGTTTCGAATAAAAAGAAAATATTGCTAATCACTCCCTAAACAGAGAATGTATTCAATTTTCATAAATGTAAATATAATGTTTTACAATTGCTCAAAGTAAAATGGTTCATAAACAAAAACGCCTAAGACCAAAATCAAACACTTGAGCAGATGGGTGCAGATTTTTCTTGACATATCCATCACTAGATCAATTGAAAAAGTACTCGCTCTTTCAAGGATCGAGGCCCTGGTTATCGAAGGATGCTCGAAGCCTGGCAAAATTTTGAGAAACTTCTGACAGACATCATTCTGACTTCACCTTTCTTCATTGGGCTTAGGAATTTTCTTGTATTCATAATTTTCTATGTCAACCTTCTGCTGCAAAGTCTGTAATAGAACATATTAAGAATGGCAGCATGTTTGGCTAAGCTAAGTTACTTTTAAGTAACTTTATCTTCAAACATGTTTGGATAACTTGTTTTTTCTTACTTTATAGAAATTTAAAAAAATGCTTTTTTAAAGTAACTCCTACCTTCAAAAAAAGTAACTTTTATTTCCAACTTTGATCAAATAAAAATTACTCACTTTAAAACTTATAGCAAGTTTGGCTAAGCTTAAGGGTGTTAAACATGCTAATAATCAGTTAATTTAATTATAATTTTTTAACCTTAGCTGAACATGCTCACATACCTTCAGCTCTTCCTCCAGTGAAATCTTTTTAGGCTTATAAGCATTCACAGGTCCTGTTCTTGACAGTGCTTTTCTCGTCTCGATAATCTCCCACTCCTGGTCATCCTTCACTTTTGCAATATCCTTGCTGAAGTACAAAATTACACTCCATTAAAGTCAAACAAACACACAACACACTACATATTGTCATTGGGATGTAAGTGTAGAGCATGTGGTAGGACAAATAGACTTCCAAGTAAGTTTACATTTCTACACGTGATTGGATAGCTTTAATTTTCTTAACCTATAATTAAAGAAAAACCTAGAATTAAAAGAGAAGGTGCTTATTTTGGGAGTATGGAAGACACTGCTTTCAAACATAACTTGCTTATTTCAACTTTGATCAACAAAAAGATTATTTATTTTACATTTACTTTTATGCTTAGCTAAACTTGCACTATATATAATCACATCTGTTTTTATATCAGTAGAAAATTTGTATATATTAAGAAAAAGAACTTACTGTGTGAGACGACGAGCAGTTTCAATAAGGAAAGGTTGCATAAATAATTAAGAATGATAAGAATTCGTAAAAGCTTAAAACAGACTCGTGTTTGAATCAGAAAACTACAAATGCATGCACATCTGAACTCAGAGCTTACATGCAGTACCATATCCTGTTATTGAACAGGAAAAGATGCGGGTTCTAAGTGTGTCATAACAAGTAAGTTTATCTCATTGTTGATCAAAATGTCATCTATTAACTACACAACCATAGCAGCCTTATTTAACAAAATTAGCAGAAAAATATTGAATGATTGCTCTTGAATTCCACCTAAATCTCACTAGTATACTTCCGAAAGTAAGCGTGCCTAAGACAAAGAATTGCATAATGCACCATTAGGAGGATGCCTCAATTCTGTATTGGTGTGGAACCAATTTGATGTCAGACATTATTCGAGGAACTGTTGTTGCACTTATAGAGATATAATACATTATTGAATATAAATTGGAGGGATCAGAATATGCTTGAGATGTGATATTATTGGAAGAACAAGAATTCTGTTGTCAAATTCTGAGGCTCTCTTTAGTCACTTGATGAGGTATCAATGTGCAATCTATCCTATGGCAAAAAAATCCATTCAACCTGATACCAGCAGGATCCTGCCACGAATGGGGCAGGGATTACCCACCTAACTGGGTAAACGGGAAGGGGATCATTGTCACGAAGCGGGTACGAGGCGGGTACGAGAAACATAATCCCCACCCCCATTTAAAGTTAATTTCAATTTTATGTTTTTTTATCAAACAAAAATAAAAGATTTATCATCATTTTTAAAAAGAATATGAGTTGTTCTTAACAAATTGGAAAAAAAAAGTAATAATATTTATTATCTAAAGACATAAAAAATAAAAGTAAAATAAATAAAAAGTAATAAACATGGCGATAAATAGTGCAATGGTGCCGTCCCGATTTAACCTGGTCGGGACGGGGCAAGGTAACAAAAATACCGGACGGAGAGGGGGTGGGAATGGTCGACCCGCCCCATTGCCATCACTAATCTATCCCATGTGTTATGTGCCAATTAATTTTATTTGTACAGTTATCGGCTAGGAAATGATAGTTCTTTGTGCATAGATCTCTATGAGTATTTTGAAAGAACAAAAACCGTGTTATTAATTCTGCAGCTCCCTTAATTATGCAATCTATCCCGATCTGCGTTCATTTGTCTGAGTTGGAAACTTTTGCCTGTAGTGGCCCAGCTAAGTTCCCATATCTATGTATATAGTTTGTGCCTTCGTGGTTGCTTATGGATGGTGTTTCTGCTTTTTATAATTCTTTCTACACAGCTTGACCTTTATTGCAATTGCCTATTAATGTCACCTAAAAGAAATGGCCATAATGATCCTATTAAGCTTCACATATTTACTTTTAAAAAAAATGAAATGGGAACCAACAAACTTAATAATGACCATTTCCGATTTTCCCATTTTGGCGTCTGCTTCAAAAATAAAACATTTGCTTTAGTTGTTTTGCTTGTCTCATGCATCAATGTCTAAAATGATTATCTTCTAATGAACTGAGTTTCTCTTTAGGAAAAGTAATACTAATACATCTGAACTTGAAAACTTAAATAACCATTATTATGAATACAATAAATAAATCAAGTGGAATCCTTCTTTGTTCAACATATATCCACAATTAATTGATGCATGATCAGAAATGTTAATCCAACAAAGCGTTTGGACTAACCTGCCTTGCAGTAGGTGACCAAGTCCAAGAGCTCCAAGCACAGTCAGTGAAATCATGGGAAGACCATACCGTATAAATGGTGCTTTCCTGCCCCACCTACTGAACTTTGAAGCCGAGTTTTGAAACCTGGGGGCAGATTGTGCTGCTGGATTATCCAATTTCTTGGGTTCATCAGTTGTCATATGAACAGTTGTCATCTCTACACGCCACAAGAAACCTGCATCATAATTCCAAAGCATCATTGCCAACCATAATGTTACTTGTTGTTAGATTACCTTGAATTTCAGGCATAAATAGAAGTGTGAAGTCATGATGCCACCCTATATAGGTTCCAACACATTCAGTTCTAGTGATTAGACGAAGAATTTACATAATAAACCCACCCGAGTTAATGATCAAGTAGCAAACAATAACATAATGCCACCTGAGTAAAATTACACTAGCAGAGAATAGCAAATTCGCCCTCAAATAATCCAAAATTAAAAACCTTATACACACTTCAAACATTCTTATCACATACTTAATGATAGTTCAATAAAATCTTCACGGCGATTTTCTCAAATTAAAGTTTCTAAATTAAACAAGAGAAAAATAAACACACAAATTATTTGCAATTTCACCCTAACAAAAATTGTCATTATAATGTAAGCATCGGGGACTCAAATTAACAAAAAATTAAATTAAATTAAATTAAATTGAAGCCTCCATAATACTTGTTCAGCACTCGAATAGTGGAGATTTGTTTTCTCGATGGGTTCTGGCGTGTGAGGGGGTGGAGTTGGCCAGTTGGGGATCGGGTGAGAAATGAAGAAACCGATGTTTTAGCAGGTGAAGCTCTGTCCATCCCAACTTTTTACATAAATTATACTTTTCTCCACAATAATTTACTAATTTTACAGAGAACTCCCTTTTTTTTTTTAACAAAAATCACTTAGGGCGTGTTCGGTAGAGATTAAAATCGGATTAAAATTTAAAAACTAGCCGTTATTGTTGACTTTTATTAAACGAGTGAGACCCAATAACGACTATATTTTCAATTTTGATTGAATTTTAATCACTGCCAAACATGTTTTTAACCAGAATTGTACTAATAACTTTTTAAAATCTACACACACATCCAAATAAACCCCGGAAAATTAGATTAGCTTAAGTTAAAAGCTATGATTAAAATCCTATACTTGCACCAATACATACCACAATAAAGATTTTAAAGTATCTAGATGGTTCAAGTTAAAAACTATAATTATTTGTCCAATTTATAGATAGCACGAACGATATCCATTGATAATTGCAATGCCTATAGAAATGAACATGTTTGCCTTCTGTTTTCCAACTTGCCCTATTCAACAATGTATGGCTTAGGGATGTCAATAAAGTTCGTAAGCTCGAGCGGCTTGTGGTTCGGTAAAAAAAAAATCCGAGCCAGGTTGGCTCGTGGCTCGGTGGGATCGAGCCCAAGCTTGCTCGCGTTTACAGGTAGCTAAAATTAAAGCTACATGCGTTGTAGACAACTTATTTATTTATTTATTTTAAATTTTTTAAAATTTTAAATATATTTTTCTATATGTTAATATTTAATTATTATTTGTAATACGTATTCATTAATAAAAAATTTTAAATTTATAACGAATTAAAAAAAAAAATCGACCTGGCTCTGCTCGACTCTCTAAGGCTCAAGCCTAAATTTTTTGGCCTAACTTTTGCTCTGCTTGAGTAAAAAAAAAAAAATCGAACCATTATTACTCGACCTTCAAGTTTTAGCTCATGGCTTTACTCGTTAACACCCCTAGTCTAGCTAATGTGCATAATTAATCGGTTAAACTATTTTTTATCTATATATTTCGTGAGGTTGACAAGTATTGCACTTATCTACCACTTTATTTCATCTATATATAATAAAAAGTTAATAAATACTTTCTAAACATGCTTTGCATAGTTCGATACGGCCTATAGATGAGCTTTCTTGACTTATCAATGTAACAAAGCTTAGCATGGTTTAAACGCACTAGTCGTACATGGCCTAATTAAGTCATGTTTTCACGATCTCAAATTTATCAACAATGACTATCCTACCATCTGTATCACAAAATTCATCAATAATAATTGCCCGAACTGATTATAGAGGCAAGATCACTTTCCGAACAAACCTTACTGTTGACTTCAGAAAATGAACTCAACAGATGCCGAGCCCACTATACATACGTGATCCATATTCAACACTCTAAGACAGATCCACGGTCGAGATCACTCCAAAGATTGGACGTGGGAGAAACTCAACGGCACGAGACATTTCTGTTAGGACTCCGACAGGATTTTTTGGAACAAGATTGTCTGATGAACAATGTATGAGAGCAATATTCGTAGTTGTAATAAACTTGATCGGAGAATGAAATATGTTGTTTTTTGTGTTTAAAGTTTCATTATTCTTCTATTATTATATGGTAGAGGTATTTATAATGTTATAAATGAAATAATATCCCTTAGATCAATTCACACGTGGCCTCACCTTTTTGGCCGAAGCATCAAATCCTAACTATCAAGTTGACATTTCTATCTTTTCAAAGCATTTAATGTCATTATATTGACAAGACATGACACAAATGCACTTTTTACAAAGGTTACATCAATCATTCGAACGAAGATCTTCATCATGAGCAAATCCCTGCACGTAGACCGTCAGGCTAGGAGCCTCGGATCCAGGAGGGCCTTGGATGAGTAACTGGGCTTCAGCTGATAATAGAGCCTCGAATAAAGGAGGGCCTCAGATGAAGTGATCGAATTGAAACAGGTCGCATATCCTACTTTTGATGGCCACGCGGAAGTCTTTGATGGGCTCGTGGCAGTCCCTAGTAACACTCGTAACACTTGCTATAAGCAACATGCTTCAAGGCTAGTAGCAAGACTATCAAGTCAACCAATCTCATGTTCAATCCTGTACAAAATGGATATTTTATCTCTATCTCGCTCTCCCTATGCATAATTGTGAGGCAAAAAACTGTGTACGATATGGCCCATTGAAAGCAACTTATCCACAAGTGGGACTACAATAAAATCATCTCAATTTTATGATAGATATAGACCGATGGCTGTTCTCCAAAGTACAATGGAAGAAGAAGCATAAAACAATCCATGTTCTGAATAAAATTTTATCAATTAACCCACAAGCAATCTAAATGCCACTAGTAGCTGCCAAGAAAAAAAGAAATGGTGCTACTGAGAACTTCATTCAATGATTCCACATTCAATCATCTCACTTAAAACTATCCTCATTTTGTTTTTCATTCAAAACAATCTCATCGATTCGCCATTGCTGGGCGCGTTTTCTGTTTCTTGATCTGAAGACTTTGCCTTCAATTTTAAACTGAACTTTCTAAAGAAGTTGCTCCAGCTTCCCTTAGTCTTCACGAGCTTCTCCATCTCTTCTTTCATATTCGTGCACTCCTTTTCGAGCTCAGACACCCGGTCTCTCATATCATCAAATGTGAGAATCTCGTTGCGTAAAGAGCTCATTGGGATGCAGTCATTTGTTGGTACAATGTTACCACATAGATTTTGTGAATTCTCAAGGTTGTCTGAGACATAGAAACAGCCAGCAACTGAGGTCCGTAGCCGTAGTTGTTCAAAAAACAGAACCTGGATAATAACGCGCAGCGGTAGCCTCTCGTTCTGTGCTGCATGTGTACTGGCTTCCACTGAGAACTTCTGGAAATTCATGACCCTGCAAAGCTGTTCTTTTTCTGAGTCTGTTAACCAGGGATGAGCCTGAAAAAGCAGTAATAATCACGAAAGCGGTTAGAAAAAGGAGTACACAGATTAATAGTGGCTCAAAATTTCGAGGTGAAAACTACATCCAGTCACCGTCCTGGGTTCTTATTAATAATCGAGACAAAAATACAAGTTCTTCTCATACCTTTCTGGCAAACAAAAACAGCCCCCTAATAAATCCTTTGTTTGTAGTAGAGTGAACAACGTATTCAATTCCTCTATTTGATGATATAACATCTGTAAAACTTTATGAACAAACCCCCAACATCCAGAAAGAAGGGGAAAAGGAAAAAAAAACCCACCATTACCCCATAGAATAAACAAACCATGCAATTAAATATATGCAACTTTCTAAATGTCATGGCACAATGGAATCCTCTAATTAGGCAATCTAGTGGTGCATAGGTTCTCTATGCATATATTCATTAAGCCTTCAATATATTCACAAGTTCTCCAACAACTTTTTTCATCTGTTGCTATAATAAAATGCTCCCCAAGAATATATAAAAGTTCTGCAAACAGGCACTGAGAATGCTAAATCCCCAACAAAATAATTACAGTATTAGTTGACTAAAAAATGTAAAATCAATAGCATGAACAAATCGCTTTGTGTGTTCCTTAAGTGTGAGTGACATTATATTGTAATGACAGTATAATAGATAATTTTTTAATTTTTTTCCATATCTAATAATCTCGAGTACGATATAATACATCTCACCAAAGTGTTTAAGGGTGAAAAATTATTATAATCTCAAGGAAAAGAACTAAATTCAATTATTACCTTGAGATATATATCGATTGCCCGATATATTCCATCATGTAGTGATCTAGCATAGTCGGGAATTATAGCAGCAAGTGACAGGAATTCAGTTAATTTCAAGTTAACATCAGGTGCCACCTCAGCCAGATAACTGTCCACTAGATTAGCCACCATTGTCATAGGCGCAAGTGAATAAGAATCTCTAGCAAATTGATCCTCATCTACGAAAGAGTTTGAGGTAGAATCAGTTTCTTCTTGATCCATCGACATGAAATGACCAACAATCCGCTGAATACTGTCAATGTCATAAAGGGTCTCAACTGAGTACCCCGTATTTGGGATGAGAAGATCTTCAAGAACTGCTTGATCCAATTGTGCCCCAATCCCTCTTTCCAAGTTTTCTCGACATGATGGACTAGCATGTAAAATCATGGATGTCCTCAGAAGTTTAAGCAAGAACTTGGTAGGTATAATGCCTTTTTGATTAGGTAGTAATTCTACTATCTCTTCAAGAAGAGTCCTATGATTTGCTTCTGATATATTGGAAAGGTTACAATTCTGAAAGCTTGATTTCCGACCGTGTAATGGCAGATGCCTTTTAGCATAAAACATTATTGAACCTGCAATTCTCTCTGGTGACATGCCTTTGGAACCAACTGCCAGGATCAACCTTTTGAAAAGAGGCAATTCAAGAGATGCCACATCCTCGTGCCACCAATCATCAGTCATGGGATCTTGCTTTGAAGTTGAGTTTATCCTGTTCCATAGAGAAGAATCCACTTGACTCTGAGTAGCACATCGTCCGGACACGGGCCAACTTAAAAGACTCGGATCAGTACAAGCTTTTGCAGCCAATGAATCAATACATCTACGAACTATATGAAGTTCTTCTGTGAGGGGAAGGAACTCTTCACAAGTTTTGAGGGCTTTAATGGAATCGACCCAACTCTCAAATACGTCATTGAGGAAACTTTCGGTCAATGCAATGAGGTTTCCTTCTCCATAATCCTCAGTCATTTGAAGATACTCAGATGCACACCTAAGGCTCACTACATTAACTGCAGTAAGTTCTACTCTAACAGAATAAAAGAATTTGGCTATGAGCAAAAAGGATTTTGCTCCACCAGGTAAATCATAGAGTTGTAAAACACTCTTTGTTTCCTCCTCGCACTTCACGTTCTCGGAAAGTTCTTGGATAAGCCTCTCCAACAATCGGCTCCTAGACAACAATGGAAACTGGAAAACATAGCTGAAGTGTCAAAGCTAGTCAATGATAGATTACATATGCATATAACAAAAAAATATTAGAAGAGGATATAATAAGCGGAAGAATATGAAAAGATGTGTCTATCTTCAAAGAGAAATGTGAGGAGCACGAAAATTTGTTTTTATTCATTTTTCTCTTGATATTACATTCAAATAAGCAATTTCTTTATATAATATATATATGTGAGCCAAAACAATTTGACAATTTGTGATAAGAGATAATGGATGACTCCCATCAATTGGGGAAAAATGAAACGTATACAATGAATTTCATGATTGTTGCCAAAATCTTGAAACCAGAACAATGTACATCACTATGTTTCTCGATGACACGCAAAAAGGAGAAAAATATGGTGCACTAAATTTAACAATACATGCGAATATAAAATCAGACATTCAAAGGCTACAGACAACTACCTTGTGAAGATGGAAGCTTATTTCGCCAACTTCAATGCGAATATCACTTGGAAGGCCAGTGGAGCAGAGCCTGCAGAGAATGGTCCGGGAGAAGTATTAGTAAGCAATGTGCACGATTCAGGGTATCAATTCAGAAAACTATGCAGGATCGTATGTTATTTCACTTTGTTGGAATATCGTCCATTTAAGTAAACAACTATGTTAACTCGATATAACAAATTCAAATACCATTAAAGCATACAAAATTAGTTAGATTGAAATGAACTGTGAAGCAATATAAAAATATCACCACAACCAGAATACTAAGTAAATACTGTGTATTAAAATACTTCTATGTCAAAAATATATATCTATTGAGTAGATGGGTCCAAGTTTCGTGCCTTAAGAAAATAATTTGAGAATTCAGGCATGCTATTGTAGAGTTGGAGGAACGAAACCAATTCTCCGGAAAAACACCTTATTTTCAACATCTTTCTAACATGATGAATGAAATGCACTGTGTTGTATCCAATTACATCCTGTTTCCCCCAGTAGTTGTGTTTCTCGCAGCTATAACCTTAAAAAACCTACTGTTATAGTGTGCTTGCTTCCAATCTTTGGGACTAGAAACTGCATTTCAGGTATATCAATTAGTAGGTATACAACGATTGACGTCAGACCCTTCAAGGACAGAAATTCATCTATCCATATATTTTTTAAGGTCAACAAACATCTAAACAACTCCATTATTCTACCCTACTCCTGTAAACTTCTCTATGTATTGATACATCTGACACTGTTTTTGGAAGGCCTACCTTATGGGTTTATAAGCATATCCGACTTATCTCACATTACAAGACGTTTCAAGGACGAGCTCTACCCAATGTACTTGTAATATTAATATCCGTGCTCAAACATAAAGCGGACGGGGGACTATTCCCAGTACAAGACTTGTTCAATGGAGTCACCTATCTGGAAAAAAAAAGGTCATTTGGTTCTGAAGTGGGGTGGATTGTACCTAGAATCTAAGTTCCACATTGCTCGTCGAAGGCCAGTCTTGTGGGCTTATAAGCATATTACAAGCCAATTTCAAGAACTGATTGTACGCAACCTACGGTTTCTATAATTGAGAAATAAAACAAATATCATTAGGACACTGGCTTCAACATCATCGAGCACCATTATTACAAGTACATTTTTCACTGGTAGAAGAAATAGCTCAAAACAAATAAACCCACCTCGGTAATCAAATGTACCTAATCACTATACTCTAAAATTCAACAAAACTGAAATAAGGGTCCAAAAAAATTGTAGAGATTATAATGATCACTAACCAGGTTTTGCCATCCAGGTAAAACACGTCTGCCTTAGATCCCAACTTCATGCATGCCATGGAATATCTGTGGTTACAAGAGACGGCATTCAAATTCAATGGGTATAATAAAGAGAGAGAAAGAAAGGGAATTGGGAAATTTTCAAGAAACCTACTGGCTGCTGCTGTTACAGGAAAGAAATAGTTTGTTCGGATACATCTTAATTTTACACGTTGATATAACATTAAAGAGTACGTTTAATTTTGTTTTCCTTTAATTGGGATTTAACTCTTCGATTTTAATGATGACGAATACAATATTAATTCTCGATTTAACAAAAACGTAATAAAAAATAATTAATTATGGAAAGATTATGTTGCTGGTTGGGACCAATTTCTTGATTTTGTGAATTCCCATGATTGTGGAAGTTGGTCATGTCGAATATATAATAAGATCATGTGACCAAATCGGATGGCTAGGAAACAAAAGTGCATCACCATCAGGTGCGTCGGGAACGCCGACTGCAAACACTATGTGATGATGTAGAGTGTGTTATGTCGATTCATAGTTCAAGAGTTTGCATCGAGTTTAATATGTAAATATATTTATGTGTGTCAAATCGAAAACAATGAGACTTTTATAGTACGACTCAACTCTCTAGCCATGCTTAGATTGACGGTATTGTAATATCCCTATGAACCAATAACTTTTTGAGAAAATTGAAGAAAAAGAAGCTTTTCCCCCTCTCGGAAAAAATTAAAGGGACATCCATTTTAAAGCATATAAGTTATCAAAAGCATGAAAAGTATATGAGAAGTACGTAACGCACTGAGCAAGAGCTTTATAGAAAAACTGTTAAATATAGACCTCACAAACGAGTAATATTTCAATTAACATGAATTAAATTTATAATTATTCAGTAACACGTTTTCTAATAAATGTAGCAAGTCAAGGGTGGTCAGTAACCTCGTGCGCAAGGTGACTAAAGACTATAACAGCATGTATGAGAAGTGTTTATAAATAGATAGAAACGAGTGTTGGACTCGTCGACTTAATCATCTAGATACATCCAAGTCAATTTCTACTGAAGAGAAATGCTACACTTACACACTTGGTACACAACCCTCTCACATGTGTGTGGGTCCCACTCACATGTGAGAAGGTTGTGTACCAAGTGTGTACAAGTAGCAAATTTATTCTACTGAATCCATTAGCATTAGTTGGATATTATCAGGTAGCAGTCCCTGTTGAACAAAGATGGAGAGGGAGAGAGTTAGGGCTGGGCAAAATGTCCGAACCGAACCGAATCGAGCTGGTTTTTTTAAATGAAATACTCGAACGGGTATCCGAATCGAGAACCGAAATGTTTGGTTCGGTTCTAGACCCAGAACCGAATAACCGAATTTTTTTTTTTTATATTGGATAAATCAATTTCTTTTATATTTTCTAAATAAATTAATAATTTTTTTCTTATTAAATCTTATTAGTTGAACAATTTAGAGTTTATTTATGTTTGTTAGTTGTGTTTTTTTCAATTTTTTCTTGTATAGTCTCTTAATAGTTAATATGGAAAGTCAAGCAACTGATTATTATATTAAATAGTTGGTAAGTATTATCAATACTTTAAAATATTTTATCTTTATTACTTCTAATTTATAATTTATTTTTATGTAGACTTGAATGTTTAAAGCAAATGAATTATTGATATGAATTATCGAAGTTTTATTAGTAATATTTACTTTTTCGTATTTATATTTGACAACTTATTATTTATATGTTATTAAATTAGATTACGTTAATTTGTAAAAATTAAGATTGAACTTTGTATTTATATCTATTTTTTGTTATTAATATTAGTATCTACATTCAGGTGTATTTATGTAGTATTATTTTAAATGTGAAAAAATTTAATTATAGTACGGAACCGAATCGAACCGAACTCGAACGATTCCAAAATTATATTTGGAACCGACGGTTCCATTTACTAAATACTCGAAAATTTCTGGAACCGAAAAAAATCGAACCGAACCGACCCGTGCCCACCCCTAGAGAGAGTATTAGACTGATTCATGTATAGATGAGGTATATACTTTTCCTAGCTTATGTTTATACACTGCTATTCTACACAATGTTGTACTTATGGTTTTTACAACCTTGCATCGTTTTTTCACTTTTCCACCTCCTGTTTAGAAAAAAGAAAAACTCGTGATGTTCCCAGGTTTGTCTAGCACTGATTTCTTGTAGCAAGCGGCCTGAACAGTATGAACCGGAGGAGCAAGGTACGTTAGATAGTATTCGTTTACTCAACAGTAAACAAAGAAAATAAGCTAAAATTTTGGTCACTTTAGTGTCCAGCTATCCAATATTATGTTTGGATACTTGTAATCCACGAGTTGCAACTTATCTATTTACACACAGACACACACAAGGTTTTTTACCCTTCTTTCATTTACAAAAGGTTATATTCATCCGACCTGAGAGTGCTTTTCATTGGTCTAACCACCTTGGCCATTATAGAAGCCTTGCAGTGGAGAGTTTCTTGATAACTAGAAATAGGGCACATAAACCAGTCATCGAATTCTCCAAGATGATCGTATCATGCGGAGAATTTCAAAGTTGTCTTGAGTTGAAACGTGGTTATTTTATACAATCTGAGACTTGATGGGAGGATTGAGGCGCTTCATCATGAAGTTGAACTGGAAGACACATGAACTTCTCGGGTGGGGCCAATTCGCTCCTTCTGGCACCTTGATGCACTTAAACCCCTGCCCTTTATACAACTTCGTGACACCGGGATCGTTAAGGTCACTGTGTAATGCAATGGCATGGCACCCCCAGCTTCTTGCTGTTACCTCTGCTTTAGCTATCAGTCTTTTCGCAATTCCCTTTCTACGGTGTCTTTCTCGGACAGCAACATTTGATATATATGCAATTCCTGTCCTGTCCACAATGATACCACGTGTTGTAGCTATTAGTTTGTAAGAGATGAGACAATGCTTCAATAAATTCTTGAACAAGATAAGAATTCAACATCATAGGAGAAGCTGATGAAGTAATAGCTAAACGAAAGTAAAGCAAACTTATAACCTATTGCATACCAAATATGCCTGTATAGTACTGCGTACCTTCTCTGCTGCAGGGGACCTTTTCGTGGAAGAAAATTAGCGATAGTATCCACGGTCAATATCCCGGCTACATATCCCTTATTTAGACTAAACATTCCATCAAAAACTCCAATTTTGAAATCATTCCCTGAAAAAAATGCATCTTGATCTGAACTTCCAATTACAGCCACCAGGCAAGTTCTCTTGCAGCCATTTGGTATCGAGTATCCAAATAACATTCCAATGGCTCGATTAATTCTCAACAAATAGTCATAAGGAAATCGAAATTTAGGGAAGAAGGAACTGCAGTGAGTCTCAGCCACCTCCCAGCAGTCCTCTAACCTCGCCTCTCGAACAACAATTTCAGGAGACACAATTGGAAACAAGTCGGCCACTTGACTCGCCCTACAAAGCGCTAGAGCACACGAAGATCCTCTAGTTAGACTGTAATAATCTCGAAATGCTAATGCTCCGACTAACGAAGATCTTTTACAACATCAAATGATGACAATGTGATGGAATAAACATCAGAACTATCAAATACCCTTATTGTTTTGTAGTTCCGGAACATAGGTGAAGCAACTGTTAGGGATTATGCTCCAATCCCAATCCCGGGAGCGAAAATGAGCAAGATGTGAAGACAGAAACTTACACATAGAAACACAGATTTATAGACGAAGCTGCAATATTTTCCCTTTTTTACTATGGTCAAGTAACATAGGCCCATGTTACAGAACAAGCTAATGTCCTACATTTCTAGTACACATTCGGTTGCCTCGCACACCATACTACCTAAGGAAATGCCCAACTACTGCCATTTGTCCTCGAGTGTCATGGGACACCATGGAAAATCAGTTAAACTCACACAGTAAGGTTGTGGTTCCCTAGTATTAAAAATATAAAGTTTTAAATAAATAAGTTCGTCTTCTAAAGCTTAAACTTTTGGATAATTTAGTTAAACATGGTATCAAATGTCCAGAAATAAAGTCATGTCGTCGCTAAATAATAAAAGTCATGCCCGTGTCAGCCTTTTGAAAGAAAAAAGAATCCATCTTCCAAGATGAATTAAACTTTTAGACGAGTGGATTTGCTCGTCCACACTATAAGAGGGAAATAGATGAATTTTCATACCTGATCCGTGGGGAGGGGAAGAGAGAGAAATTTTGGAGAATGAAGGAAAGGGATTCTTCTTGAAATAGAGAGAGAGACCGATGCTGAAGCTGCTTAATGTTGGAATGGTCTGCATTTCTATGAAATGCCAGAGTATCAAGAAATGAAGTTTGGGATGAAAAGAAAATGCCAAGAGATTTTTTCTTTCTTGCCATTTGTATCTTACGTTGGGATGCAAAAGTAAATGGATGGCCAAAGATAACTGACAAGTGATATTTATATGTTTTATGCATTACTCCAATGCCTGCTTTTATCTTTTGGTTCATACTAGGGATAGCAATCGGGTGGGCCACCGGTCCTAAGTTCCCAACTAATTGGGGAATTCTCGACCCACATAGGACCTGGCAGTGCTGGCAATGGGTGCGAGCTGCTCATCGGCTCAGTCGCTTGAGCCAAGCAGTCATATTTCCATACGAGTTGTTCTTCGACAACCCACGAGCCATCACCTATAAATACTACATTTTCACTTCCAAATTTTCACGCTATTCTACTTTCAGTCTCAATTTCATCAATCTTCTGAATTCTCTCAACAACTTTGAAATAGTTGTTTCGTGTTCTTAATCTGTCTATTATTCGGTTTATACCATTTAGAAAAATTCTTACTCTAATTCCATATTTTCCTTTATATTTTTCTATTTTACATAAGGTCATCAAGTAACAATCCCATGGACAGATTATTTTTTTATCTTTTTTCAAAGACCCAACGAAAGAGCAAGTTATCGTACTAATTTTGGTAAAATGAAAGAACAGTTAAAGTTGTTATTGCACATTGAAATTTCTTTAAGTACCCAACAATTTTGGCTGCCATGTAAGAATAGTAAAAGAAGATTCAGCCAACGCACATAGTAAGGAATCTTGTATGTCAAGTTATATGGGTTTAATAATAAGAAATTTGGGACTTGAGCAAGACATATAGAAGTAAAACTCAATTAGAAATTATAAAGAATAATTAAAAAAGAACTTTTCATTGAAGTGCAATTAACAATGCCAGAAGAATATCCATGTAAATTATATATATTCCAAATGTCCTCACTTGTAGCTGATCCAAGAAAACACATTAGAATCCTAACCAATATTCTTCATAAATAAAACGTCGCTTATCTTCACACCATTTCTCAATTATTGTAAAACCAACTGGGGTGTGTACAGAGTGTATGTTTGGTATATAATACTGAACATGTCTGGTCAGAATTGTGAACTGGCATCCACTCAAACGATTCTTGCTGCTGTTGAGTTCTAGATACCTAGAAATCAACTGGTAGACTAGTCAAGAAAGCTAATGTGTGGGGAGACGTAGACTTTCCAAAGAGAGAGCACCAGAGAGGAAGCTTCTCAAGAA